ACCTATGGAGCGAAATTCATATAAAATCCAAGGGAAATGTCTGATTTTCCTCACATGCTTTAGTTGTTTCATTTTTTGTGGCTGTTTTAGCAGGCACAAATAAGTGGCTGAAGGTGACAAGAAAAAAATGCTAGGGATGCAATGAAGCATCAACCTTAGGAATAAGGTCCTTTCTTCCCCAGTGTGAGAGCAAATTTGCAACCCTTGCTATCTCTGTGCTTAGGAACATGTAGGAAATATGTCTTTGAAGGCAAAGCCTGTTTAAACTTCATCTGGTGTGTATTTTCTTGGCTCAGCGGAGTAGCACAAACATTGCTAAAATATTTTGCACTAGCAAAGAAGCTGCATCTAGGAAAAAATTTGACAGCAGTTTGGGGCCTTATTTTGAACTGTGGTTTTGGAAAGTATATCTGTAACTGTCTTTTTCACGCTAAAGCTACTTCTCTGTTTATATTTGAAGCTGCAGCTTTGGGGCTAAGTGTTTGGTATTAACCAGTGTTTGCATAGTAAAGTTTTAGAGTACATTAGGTAGTGTTATCGCTACACTATTATTAACACAAGGATAATGAGAGTTTTGCAGTTTCCCTAGCATATTAACTTCAGTGGGAAAAGTATTTACCACAGGAAAACCTTAGGTGTGTGTCACATTTTAGTGGTTTATGGTCATTTCAGTAGGTTTGGTCATGAGAAAGAATTATTCAATGAACAAGATTGAGATCCTAAGAGACCTGTATAAAATATTTTCCAGGATTCAATGGAGAGCTGTGCACTCTGTGGGCTCCTACCCAACCCCAATGAATTTTGGGGATTATGCTAAGAAGTTACCATGTATTATATATTATTGAATTCTGGCATTCTGGTTTGAAGCAACCCTCTCACCAGGCTCTCTTGGAGACCTGGAGACTGATCTGGAGAAGACAGATAGCATCGGAGTCACTGAAGTTGGTATAGGGGTGGATTACCCTACAGGGTGAATCCTCCCAGTGCCTCATGAATTGCCATTATATTAACTGCACTTAAAATAACCCCATGTGTAATTTCTTTGTGTGGGCTTCTTTGAATGAGACTGTGAGACACAGATATCACTGGCATCCATGCTGGACAGAAGGTCATTGGGAGCTGCTGTGCACAAGTCAGGTTGCTGCTTCACAAGCATGGTGGGAACAGAGAATTTCAAAGACTGAACTATAGCAAAGCTCAGCGTCTCTTCTATATTTCCAGTTGGATTGGCAACCCAGTCGTTTTCATCTGCATTATTTAACAACTGGAGAGAAATTGGAGTTGACACAAGTTCTTGATTGTATCATTTTTTATTCAATTAAAACTTCAGAAGGCACATTTTTCTCTCAAAGTTTTGGCCTTTGTTGTAGGACATGAATCATACCTCTGTTTTTAATCTTAAAAAAAATAAAATCTTTAAATATGGATTGGGAAAGAAATTCGACTTAAAAAAGAAGAGTGATATAAAACAATAAACAGAGATTGAATGCGAGAATAGCAGGAGGTGATAAATCCAGAGCCACATGGCTCTGCAGATAAGCTCAGCATGCAGTGTAACGCGTACCATCAGAGCCTGTGCTACTGAATGGGTTAAAAATAACACTGTTGTCAGATCTTAGCATGATGGCTCACTCAGCTGGCCCCCTAGGTCCATCGCTCCACTGAGGTATATGGACATATTCATCAGTGTTCCCTTCAAAGTGGACTGGATATTAAATATGTGAAAGTTATGTGCCTCAGGTCAACTTACTGAAAAAGAAGTCGCAGAGGACAAAGCTTGAAATAATATTTATAATAATAAATAATTAAAATGGAAAGCTTGAAATAATATTTTACATACAAGCTGGAAATACAGATGCTGAAAAACAGGGCCAGCTGCTGCTCAAATCTAGCAGCTGAAGTTCTTAAGAAATATCAAGTAAATTATAAAATCCAGGGTTGATCCTATCAGGAAAGTGGTGTGGGAAAGTAAAGGAGTGAGAGTTTCTGAGCCCCACTCAGAAAAACCAGACAGGAGATGCAGCTTTTTCACTCTCTGACCGCTGACCACAGGCAAATCTCCCAGTGGTCTCCCAGCCCAAGCCCAGCCTGGGGGGGCAATCACTTTTGCGTGTCCCACATGCCCTCAAACGTAGCAGCCCCTGCAGTTGCTGTCCCTCGAGAGTAGAACTACTGAGCTGGGGAGAAACGCATCGAACCACCAGCAAGGTGGCTGGAAATGGAGACTCCCACCAGATCAATACTGGTCAATTAAGCATTAATAAGATAACGTAATATAATATAGGATGAGCATTAATAGGATAGCAGGATAACATAGATTACCGAAGATTTTTAAATAAGTAAGCCTATCATCAAAGAACCAATCCAAACAATCAGAAAAATAATTTGATTCAATTGTCAGACTTTTAAGAATATATCTACCTGTGTTCCTATATCTATAAACTTACATTTTCAAAACCCATTTCCTAGCCTTTTTTTCTGTTTTACCTTTTTGTGCTTTCAACCTCATGCTTCAGGTCTACACTGAGCCCCTTGCAAGCAAAACCTCTCTCAGATCTTTTCTATCTGCTGTAGGAGGCTTTCAAAATAAACAAAACACCTAATAATCAGTGCCAGCATTCCTAGCTATTTCTAATTACGTTCTTTCAAAATTATATTATTTGAAAATGCCATCTCTAATTAAAATATGCTAATAACTTGAAATGGATTCATTTTCTGACTCTGCCTACTCTATTAATGTTGATAAAAATAAAACAGGAGCCCTCTTTCTCTGTGTTCTTCAACTCATTTATGTTACTAGAAATTAATACTGGAAAATATTCTCTCAGGTGGCTATATTATATGAGAAAATCCCTGAAATAATTACCCTAACATACCGTGTTGATAAGCATACAAAAATAATCTTCAGAAATACCTTTGAATTAACTAAATTTATGAATACATTGATATGTGAATAATTTCTTTTTTAGGGCTTACTGAGGATGTTCAGTTAGCTATTGTTTCTGTCAATACTCCATATGTGGTGAATCAGGCTATAAATTAGCTATTTCAGTACACTGTTTTAGTAATTTGCCTGGCTCTTCCATTTTATTACTGCAGTAGTCATAACATCATATTTAAGTGCTGTGATTTTCTTCACCTGAGATTATGATCTTCACCAGAAGATTGTGCTTTGTAGTATGACACCACTGAATCCACAGTTTGAGAGTGCAAGTTAAAGAGGTGCTAATCAAGTCTTAAAACTACTGTGTCTGGCTGCTGCAGCTGTACAGCTAGAATAAAGGGGAGCTGGAGAGCTTGAGGAGTAAGTCCAGAAAAGCACTGAGCAACGTGTTTGCAGTCCATTAAAGGAACAACCACCTACACAAGAAACCTGTATGAAGAAACGCCTGCAAATTATGATATTTCCAGATATATCTTTATAAAAATAAATGTAAATAAATTTAAATCTATGCATGTACTTACTTATACATGTATATACATGGATATGTATCAAATATATGTATATAGCTATGTGTATTCATATAACATACACAGACAAGGATGTGGACGCACACATGTATACATACGTAGGAGGAATGAGTAGGTATGCTGGGCAGGTTATTGCTTACAATTAGAAGTTGAATACATGCTTCTCCTGCAAATAAGGTAATTACCCAATTAAAACAGTGTAGGACTGATAGACTTCCCTCTCAAATGCTGAGCTTTATGATAAGGTAGACAATAGTATGTGGGGAATCAATCATGTATACAGAGTATCCCAGAGCATGGGCTTGGGCTGCCAGAGAGATGGACCCTCCCGCATGCTGCCTAGACACAGGCAGTGTGTTATGCTCACTACCTATGCCCTTGTCCCAGTGGCCAATTTGTCTGAAAGAGCCGGGATCCTGATAAGAGCTTAGAAATGGACTCCAGAACAGACACATAGAAATGTACCTGCTATGCCAAAAGTGGTCTGGGACAGCTTAGGAACCAGATACCCATCAATCCCCAGGAAGCTGACAGTGACCAAGAGGGAACCAAATGGGTGATGCACAGTGTGATCCTGAAAGAAAAAAAACAACACATTGCAATTGTTATAATAATGACCCTAAATACTGATTTATGAAATCTGTAAATATTCCTTCCAAATTATCTTTTTTCCTCTGCTGTGTTCCTTAAATGCATTTGTGAATCGTGATTCACTTGGAGAGTAGGCTCCTGCCAGAGCAGGGCTCCAGCAGATACGAAGCTTTTCTGTTTTACAGTCCTCTCATTTCACACATTGGGTTCAAATAAGTTTGATTCTTTCATTTCCTTGGATTCTAAAGTACGATTTTCTGAAAGCCTGAGATAATGAAAGACAAAATTGAAAATCAAGAAACATCTTCTGTATGTCTAGTATAGAAAGTAACGATGGTTTTTCCTCCAAAAAAGTCAGTTACTAGCTCTGGCTACTTAGCTGGAGTTCATTGAGTTATGGACAACTCTTAATTGCCAACTATACCACCAAACAGCAATTAAAAATGGGAACATGCATTTTTCAGCTTGAGAAAAAGTAAGATTTGGCTCACAGGAGGCCAGTGTACTCCCAGCTCAAAATGAAATGTTTTAAAAATCTCAATCCACTTTCCTTCTACGCCATTCTGTGAAGGGCTGCAAACTGCTGTATACTTCTGAAGTCTGTGATTGCACTTCCTATATTAAAGCTATTTGGACACATACATATTAATGTCAGACAGCACTGTGCTTCGTTCTGTCAATTACAAATTTAATGAACTCAGAATTTATACACATGAAACTGATTGGACCCATGATAGGTGGCTCTGCTTTAAAATGAGACCTCTATTGAAAACATCAACATTTAAAACACCAGAAAAAAAGCTTCACTGCCTTGAGTAAAAAAGGATTTTGTTTCTTTTGTTTTGTTTGTTTTTTCTAAATGGAAGGAAGAAGCAAGAATACAATGCCTGAGTGCTGAGACCAATAAATTTTAATTTATTTGTTTTTTTTCTTTTTAGGTATAAAGCTATAGTAAGGCCAATGGAGATCCAAGCATCCCATGCGCTGATGAGTATTTGTATGAGAGCTGCTATAATCTGGATTGTTTCCATGTTGCTTGCCATCCCTGAAGCAGTGTTTTCAGATCTGCACCCTTTCCATGACAAAGGGACTAATAAAACCTTCATCAGCTGTGCTCCTTACCCACATTCAGACGGGCTGCTGCATCCCAAAATTCACTCAATGGCATCATTTCTCATCTTTTATGTCATTCCTCTATCTGTCATTTCAGTCTATTATTATTTCATTGCTAAGAATTTAATCCGGAGCGCTTACAACATCCCTGTGGAAGGCAACGTGCACGTGAGGAAACAGGTACTTAACTTTCTTCAAAAATGCACATTCCCTCTGAATCGGGGAGTAAAGAGGGAATGCAGGGAAATTTATACTGGGATAGCCTGCATCTGATTAGGTGGGGTAAAAGTATTAAAATGGTTGAAACAAGATATGACACAGGGGTAAAACAGTTAAAGCAACTTCTCCAGTTTCTAAATTCAGAGACTTTGGCAGGGTGGTTACCATGGCAAACACAGCAGGATACCCGTGCCAAAGCCTGGGAAGGTATTGACTGGGATGCAGGGAATGAGGCAGAGCTGGATACAATGCCTGGAGATTGAAGCTGATGGGAGACACAGCAGAAAATCAAAACTTCTCAACGTTACTTTGTTAGAGAGAGGACTCCAGATAAAGCCTCGTGCCATGAAGCAGAACCTCTTTGCACAGATGGAAAAGCTGGCTCTGCCATTCAATACTCTGGACTGAAAAGTGAATGGAACAGAGCAATGGGGGAGTGAAGGTAGGGGAAGCCCTTTCTCCAAGGGTCCCTCCCTGGCCAGGAGCCCTGGTCAGTCAGGGAGGTGTGTGACTGCTCCACAACAGCAGCAATGCCTGCTGTACTCACCTTGGCCCCAGATCTCATCTACTGGTGCTGTGCCATGTTGAGAAACCAGGACAGTCTAGAGAGGGACTGAGGAAGTGGAGACCATAGGAGCACAGGGTCTCAAGTAGGGAGGATGGAGCAGGATAGTGTGGGGTCCTCACAGATGCTCTGAAGTTACCTGCCTTGTCGATGGTTTGATGTTTGAGGTGTGCAATCTCAGGAAAAGAGAAGAGTCCTGGCTTCTTCCTTTAAACTAGTTGGTCATTATAATTGTCTTTTTAAAAGTGCCTAATTTTTTAGGGTCTCTGGAGGGGAGAATAATCTACCCACCTGTTATATGCCCTCTGCTACAAGCCAGACTGGTTAGTCTTCTGGTCCAATAACTGGTAGCCTCAGGTTTCACCTTAGTCTTGGATTCATATAAACAGGCCACTTGCTCTGGAATAATGCCATCTTTTAACCGTCCCTCTATAGCTTTGAAAGCAGAGTTACTTCTGTTACTGTCATTCACGAGTGGGATTTTTTTTTTATAAAACTTCCCAAGCCATCCCACTGCAGAGCTCCTGATTGGGATTGCTCAGCTGGGACTCATGTATTTCAAATGGGTTTCATGCCCTGGTTGAAAATGTGTGGCTGGAAATGTGCAAGTCCTGAACCAAGTGAAGGGAATTAGCCAGGATTTGGCAAGCCTAACTCCAGGCTTTCAGCTAGAGACTGCTTCCTCTTTACTGCTCCTGTTCTGTGTAACTGGTGAGAAAAAGAAAAATCTCCAGGGGGAAATCCAAATTCTGTATGAGCAACTGGGTATTTCAGGTCAGTGCTTAAATGTGAAGCATCTGAGCCTTAGGCTGTCCAAGTAAGAAGGCAACAGCACAGTAACTTGTTTCTAAAAAACTTATTTACCTTATTTACCTTACTTCTTCCTTTCAACTGAGGTGTGCTTCAGCCTAAACTAAACTGACATAAGCCATTCTTCAGCTGAACAATTATTCATATAATTGCACGCAGCTGACATCTCCACCTTAGGATGACCTATCGCTATCATCTCATGCAACCTTCAGGTGCTCATGTGAAACAGTAGGTCTGGAAAGTTGTGTTTTCTTCCCATTAAATGGTTTCTGATCCCCAAAATCCTTGTCCTTTTCCCCTTCTGAATGCATGTAACACTTTCTCCCGTGCAGACCATTTTTCTGGTGATTTGATGATTGTCTTGATTAGTGACAATAAAGTGAGTAGCAACAGCAGCCCTTTCCCCCTTTGGTTTTGGGGAGAGAGCTCTAAAGAAAAAAAAGGCCAGGCTGCAGTCTAATACTGTCAGTCCATCATTCCTATCCTGCAGTGCATTCATGAGCTATATGTCTCCGAGATAACTGGTATTGATTTCTTTATTGTGTTGCTTCCTTTCTCTATAGCGCAGATGTGGCCTCAATGGCCCTATATCAAATTAAGGATGCATTTAAAAAGAATATATGGTTCAGCCAAGGAGAACCCTTTCTCAAAGGATTTAATTTTCAGGCCGTTCTCTACAGACATTATCATTTGGTACATGTCAATCCTTCCTAAGCTCAATGTCTGATTTTCAGTCAGTGCCATTAAAGGGGCACAAAATAAAGTCAAAATGGGCTTGTCAGGTCTCTCCTGCCTATTCCCTGCTTGCACATGTCCTGAGGAAAGATCAGCCTGTGTAAAATGCTTAGTTTCTAATTTACCCGTGCAGCTTGGAAGAGGAGTGAGGATGGGGAGTTGTCCAAGACTCTTGGCCAGGCACTACAGCTGCACCAGGGCGGAAGCAAGGGCAGAAAGACTGGGCTTAGGGGCAGTTTCAGTCCATTCAGGTTCTAGTCAAACACAGGAAATGGGGTACAACCAATTCCCTGGGAGTGCCTGGGAAGAGGTACAGAGATTACCAGAGGGAAGAACATTATGAAACCCTAAAATGTCACTGGTGTTACACTTTCCATGCCCGCAAATATGTGGATGCACAACCTCTCCCAGGGACCAGTGTATTTTACCAGATCTTTCTGGACAACTCTGTCTGTGCTCTCCTTTTGGGCAACCTCTGCCACTGCTCTTGTGTTCATTAGGAAGAAAGATGTGGTTTTCAGTGGCATTGTTATTTCAGTGTGCAGCCCTGGTGAACAAAGGACAAGGTACTGGTTACCTCAGTTCCCCTCGGTTGAGCAATACCTTTGGATTGACTCCAAGCCTGTACACATAAGAAAAACAAAAGTGTGGCTTGTCTGTGTGAAGGTTATACTGTATGCTAGCTGGCATTGTAAAAGCACCTTTCCCTGAAAAATCTCAAATTATGCTAAGAGAGGTAGTCATCCATCTATTCACCACCTACATTTGTCTTCTAATGGCCCCAGCTCTTTCAGTTGAGGGGTGCCCATCACCACTGCCTCTGTGTTCCTCCAAGTACAGAATTTCTTCTCTCCATTTCTCTGGCTCCTTCAGCCTCCAAGCACTGTATTTGGTCCCTCAGGGCAGTGAGCTGTTGTCAGCACTTTTGTGTACATACACCACATGGCCCCAAGGAAGAAAGTCCTGCCTCTGGGCTCTGTGAAAGATCCCAGACCCCTCAACCATAATTAATAACAGTAATAGTAATAATAATAAGTTAATACATAAAAATTATGTATGTCAATATTATATGTGGATGACTAATGCAGATCACAGAATCGTAGAATGTTTAGGGTTGGAAAGCACCTGAAAGGTCATTCAGTTCCAACCCGTCTACCATGGGCAGGGACACCTTCCATTAGACCAGGTTGCTCAAAGTCCCATTCAACCTGGCCTTGAACCACTGCCAGGGATGGGACAGCCACAACTTCTCTGAGCAACCTTTTCCAATATCTCACCACATTCATAGTGAAGAACTTCTTCCTAATATCTAATCTAAATCTACTCTCTTGCAGTTTAAAACCATTCCCCCTTGTCCTATCCCTATATGTCATAATAAAAAGTCCCTCTCCAGATTTCTTGTAGGTTCCTTTAGGTACTGGAAGGCTGCTTTAAGGTCTCCCTGGAGTCTTTTCTTCTGCAGGCTGAACAACCCCAACTGTCTCAGTGTGTCTTAATAGGAGAGGTGTTCCAGCCTCCTGATCATCTTAATGGCCTCCTCTGGACTTGCACCAACAGGTCCACATGCTTCTTATGTTGGACACACTACTCCAGGTGAGGTCTCAAAAGAGCAGAGGAGAGGGGGAGAATCACCTCCCTTAACCTTCTGTTCACACTCCTTTTGATACATCACAGGATATGGTTGAATTTCTGGGCTGCAAGCACACATTGCTGAATCATCTTGAGCTTCTCATCAACCAACATCCCCAAGTCTTTCTACTCAGGGGTGCTCTTAATCCATTCCCCACCCAGCCTGCATTTGTGCTTGGGATTCACCAAACCATGTGCAGGACCTTGCACTTGGCCTTGTTGAACTCCATGAGGCTGGCATCAGCTCACCTCTTAAGCATGTCAAGGTCCCTCCTGATGGCATCCCTTCCCTCCAGCATGTTAACTGCATCACATAGCTTGATCTCATTAGCAGACTTGCTGAGGGTGCACTCAATCCCACTGTCCATGTGGCTGAGAAAGAATTTGGACAGTGCCAGTCTCAATATCAACCCCTGAGGAGTGTCACTCACCACTGGTCTTCACTTGGACATTGAGCCATTGTCCACAATTCTCTGAGTACAGCTATCCAGCCAATTGAGTACAGCCATCCAGCCAATTCCTTATCCACCAAGTGGTCAAAATCAGGTCTCTCCAGTTTAGAGGCAAGGATGTCATGTGCGACAGTGCCAAATGGCTTGCACAAGTCCAGGTAGATGATATGAATTGCTCTACCTTTATCCACCAAAGCCATAACCTTGTAGAAAGCCAGCAAATTTGTCAGGCATTATTTGCCTTTAGTTGAGACTTACTGGCTGTCACCAATCACCTCCTTATTGTCCATGTGCCTTAACGTATTTTCCAGTAAGATCTGCTTCATAATCTTACCAGGCACCAAGATGAGACTGACTGTCCTGTAGTTCTCTGTGTCTTCCCTTTACCCTTTTTAAAAATGGGGGTTATGTTTTCGCTTTTCAGTAGCGGGCACTTCAATGTTGACTTCTCAAATATGATGTCTAGTGGCTTAGCCACTTCATTCACCTCTATCAACCCTCAGGGCCTACAGATGGGTCTCATAAGGTCCCATGGAGTTGTTCACCTTCAGGTTCCTTACATGGTCTTGAACCTTATCTTCTCCTGTAGTGGAAAGTTTTTCCATCTCCCAGCCTGTGACTCTGCCTTCTGTGACTTGGGCAGTGTGGCTGGAGCACTTGCCAGGGAAGACCATGTGTTTGTGATGCAAGTGAGATCATAGCTCTGCAGGCATGTGCATGTCTCTAACTCCTCTTGTTTATTCCCCATGCATTTACATAAGGTGTTTAAGTTGGGCCCCCAGTGAAGTTGGCTGGAGTGGCTGGAATTCTTTTGTGCTGTTCTTCCGGTGCTTTCCTGAAATCCCTCTCTAGGCTCTGGGCAGCTATGGCTGACACTGGCATCAAACTGGTAGGAGTGCAAGATGGCAGGAGATATCCACACTTTTGTTGCTGGAGATGGGATTTTACAAAGTCACAAGCCACTGCAACTTTAATCAGGAAAGGAAATGCTACTTCTCGTGTATCAAATTTTCAGAATTATTTGGTTTTAGAGCAAGGGGTTGAGGTGAGACAAGGGGCGTTCTTGACTGTGTGTTCACCTGAAGACCAGGTTGCCCTGCTCTGGCCGTGCTGCCTGCCATGCTCTAACCCCAAAGCTGCAGCACTGGCAAAAATAGTTAGCTACTAGTCTAAACTAGGAGTAGCTGCTAATCTGCATTTCTATTTCTTCTTCCAGATTGAATCCCGTAAACGTCTTGCCAGGACAGTACTGGTCTTTGTGTGCCTCTTTGCTTTCTGCTGGCTCCCTACTCACATTATCTATTTATACCGGTCATACCACTACTCAGAGGTAGACACCTCAGTGCTACATTTCATTGCCAGCATCTGTGCTCGGATCCTGGCATTCACTAACTCTTGTGTAAATCCGTTTGCTCTCTACTTGCTCAGCAAGAGCTTCCGGAAACAGTTCAACAACCAGCTGTTCTGCTGCAGAGCTCGCCTCCTCATCCGGTCCCAGAGCATGGCGAGGAGTACCACACGAATGACCTCCCTCAAGAGCACCAACCATTCCCTGGCTACTTTCAGCCTTATCAATGGCAACCATGTCTGCCACGAAGGCTATGTCTAAAGGGCACAGTCAGGGATGGCCGCATCATGTTCTTAGCATTAGCTGCTTAGTTTTGCCCTGTGGGGATGATGATTAGCAGACACACGCACACATGCACACACACATGCACACGTGCATACAAGGAAGTCTGATGTGTGCAGACTTGAAGAGGAGCTTGAAGCATCCAACATTTCATCCTGTGCTAAGGTTGAAACATCCAACATTTCATCTTGGACTGTGGCACCTCCAGAGCAGCAGATCACTGACCACCAGCCTACAGGAGCTCCCTGGGAAGTGATGCGCTGCTTCAAGATAAACTGCTTTTAATGAGAGGAAAGTGAGCATCTTAAGATCAAATCCAGCTTGATTCTGCAGGTTCTTCATCACTTTCTGCTCAATCCCAAACTCAGGCAGACTTACAGCAACAGTAACAAAGACCATACCAGGTGCACGAATTTGTCAGAAAAACTGCATCCAGAAGTTCATGGTATAATATATTTTGACACCAAAATAAACACATTTAGATAAGGAAAATACTTTTATGAAGGAGTTCAATGTAGGTCATTTACAGACTTTTCAAGTATTTATTAATGTTCTGAGTACAGTATTAATTCATGGTATAAAAGATATCAAGAGTTTACTGGGGCTTGTTGGTGGCCTCATCTGAAATGAGCAGTATATTGCACCACATCAATGTGAAAGCAGTAACGTGAATAAATGTGAGTTGGAATATGTTTACAGTTTTCAAATGTGTGAGCTTTTCCCATGCTGTGCAGGAGACAGCAGGGTATTTTCTAAGCATTACTATTTTGCTCTTCCTGTCTTCAAGGTGTGATGTAGTGCATGTCTCATCACTTAAGGGGTACCACAAAATTTTAGTTGGGTTTGACTAAGGGCAGGCAATTAACAGAAAAATTAAGCACCACTATTTTTCATGCAGTAGTGCTTTGTAAAACACTAGTTTTTCAGTAAAAGCTATCAACAATGCAAGGTCTGATCTCCAGCCCACAGGTTTTTTCCTTCTAGTTTCCCACATAGTGCCAGAACTGGCTAACGTGTTGGAGAATCAGGTCTTCCGTAATTTTCACTCCAGTGAAAAAGCAGTTCCTGTGACAGGTAACAGCTATTCTGGAAACAGGAGCACAGTGTCCTGAAGATAACAAACTCTCAAAGTTCATGGACTACAGGACAGGCAATGAAGCCACACGTGTGATAAAGCTGCTACAAAATGAGGCCATAAACCAATCTAAACCAATCACTGTAGCAGAATATTGAGTTTTTAATGGCCCTCATCCTCTTTGATGATGATCCTTTTTCTTTCCATGGCAAAAGAAAAATGAAAACAGGTAAAACTTTCTGTTGGATTTGCTCTGTGAATGTAGAAAAAGCCCTGCGTGCATTGTAAAAACACTCAGCTCTGTATCTGTGGCTGCTCAGGGATGCTGGTGGGAGCTGCTGTCTCCAAGGATTGCAAAAGGCCTGTGATGTTGAAAGCAGAGCTCTGAATACTTTCACTGATTTTACCTTTGAGAGCAGTGTCCTCCAGATGAGGCTCAACACACAGGTACATGAGCTCAGGATGTGGCCACACCACCCTGCTGATGTGCTGCTAAAAGAAGTCCTACCCTGTGTCCCCTCTGTCCCTGGGCACCCCCACCTCTGTCACACCCTCCTGCAGTCCTGAGTGCCCCCACGCCCCAATCAGCCTGAAAACTAATGAGATGGGTGAATTCCCTTGCTTAGCTGTGTAGCTATGGCACTGATTTCAATTTACTGGCCTGTCTGAAGTCCTCATTTACTAAAATCTTCATCAGGATGCCGCTTTCCTTGATCTTTAACATGAAACCACGTACCATACCAGAAGCCCAGCCTGTGATCATTTCAGAGAATTTGGCCATATTTTGAACTGTTTATGACAGTTCAAAATAAGAAACATTTATCTGGCTTAAGAGATTTTAACTAAATATTTTCTTCAGCATTGTAACAATTCAATTGAAGGCAAGCAAGAATTACATACCTCAGCAGGAGCCATGCCATCTGTGTCCTCTTGCTCAGTAATGAACAACAGATTACTGTTGCTCTACAGAAGGCTCCAGTAGCTCCTGAAGTTTTGTTTCTGAGGGAAAGGGGAAAGCACAGCTATAATGTGAGAAAATCATGAATGTGGGGAAAAGTGCATTGCTCTGGCTCCCTCAGGGCTAAGCTGATACAGACCCTGCCTCCCTGAGTAAGATGCTGTTTTGAACATAGGAGAGGAATGAAGATACATCACCATGGAATTAAATAGATGTTATTGATTTTAACCTTTTCTTCCTAACAGAGCTGGCAACTCTTCCAAGGACAGGAAAGATGGCTTTGGCTCACAGTAGCTTAATTTGCTTGGTATAATTTTTCTTTTTGCTTTCAGAGCTGGTATGCAAATATTCTGGGGGAGTTCAATGCAAAATGTAGTCCTTTCATCAGAATCCAAGATACCGACAACTTCTTTTAATTTTTAGCAACTTAGACCAAGCTCTTTCAGATGAGATGTAAATTTTCATGAATATTCTTCATTTTATTCAGATCCCTGCCTCTTCATTTAATATCTTTAAGACAATTAGGTGGTTCTGTGAAAAATAAAAATAAAAAAATCCATTGAAATAAAGTTCATTGCAAAAGCATTTTGGAATGTATTTCACAAACTTACGCTCATTTTTTAATACCATAGAAAGAACAAATCTAAGGTTGGAATTATTTCTACTTCATCCTCATATTAAAGTAGTAAAAATTCAATGCAGCAGTTGAGGTTGTGGAAGGAAACTTCAAGAAAGTTTTCTGAAATACCCCATCATGAAATTTAAATATTTATAGATGTAATTTTTTGTTTGCTTGTTTCTTGCTCTTTTTCTCACTACCTTAGTTTCAAAACCATGATGTACTGACTCTTTCAGCCTGGAGCATTGTCTGCAGTGTTTCGTGTGTTTGATAAATTTTCAAAGTACCCAAGACAAAACCCCTTCCCTGGCCAACATCTCCAGAGCTGCGAGCTTGGGTGCTGCCCAGTCCTGGGAAGTTTTGCAGATGTCAATGGGAGGAGCCAGTGGCTGTGACCCTGGGGTGGCTCTGCACCCTGGTTCTTGGCTTGACTCTCCCCACTAACACCGGGAGTGTTGCAGTGGCATCTAAGACCATGTTTGGGAAACACTACATTTTGGAGATCTGTAAAGCAGTACCCCCGAGACACCTGGCTCCTGGGAGGATCTCTGGCTCTGTTCTGCACAGATACCCCTAAAACTGGAAGCACATGAAATATCTCTTGAACCAGATAGCCCTTTGAGTTTGCTCTGCTCAGTCGTGTCTGACACGTGGCAGCTGCGTTATGTTCAACCAGCTGTAGGGTGTGGGAAAAATGGTCTCTGGGTCAAGATGCTGTACGTTACACACTGAGGGAGTATTGTTATTTACTGCAGTGCAGCTATGCTTTCATCCCAGATCAGATGTACTACAGGTCTGAGGGTTATGAAAAATATGTAGCTACCATGAGATGAATCAGTGTGAAATGCAAAACTAATATTAAATAAGGACATATTGAGTTATGTACATATGTTTTCAGGAGAAAGTAAATAGGACAAAGCATTACTCTTCATCAGGAATTTGAATTTGCTGAGATTCCTGAATTCCCTTTGTTCCCATTGAACATGGTGGAAGATGAAGGCGCTGAATAAATCACAGCCTTCAGCTGTTCTTGCTTTAGCTTAATATTATTCAGTGCTGTTAGGCTTTAGAACAATTTGGAAAACAGGTGCAAAGAATCAAGAAGTATAGAAACTTTCTGATACTGAAAGGTGAAGAATTCAGGGTTCCTCAGCTCTGCCTATAAGGGGCATTTGTATTGTGTTTCAAATATTGGTTTTTAGGAAATGTTTAAATATGAAAAATCAAAGGTGTGTGATTCTCCTGCATGTGACAATAGTAGTAAGCAAGAAAAAATGCCATATGGTGGAAAGAAGGAATTGTGTTGTTGTACACAAATTTTATTTATGGAAATATTTGTTGAATACAAGTATATTTTTTACTGAACTCCCCCCCCCCAACAAATAATAAACAAGGCAGTTAATTATTCTTTGTTTTAAACAAGCAAACAAAAATTTGAAGAGCCTCTATTTACCTACTAAGATCTATATGAGATTAATGTTATAGTTAAAAAACAGAAAGATTACAGTTCAATACATGGTTTGGCAGAAATAATATACCTTCTTGCTCATTTTTCTGACAAAACACATTCTTTTTTTAACAACGGAAAGCCATCTGTGTGTATTCAGTTGGGGAAAGAACTGTCTTTCAGCCTTCTTTAAAGGCAAGAAGTTCAGTGCTGCTTATCTGAGCAGTGAGCAATCCCCTGAATGTTAACTGCAAGGCTCATTGTTGGTGCTGGGCACCACAATGATAAAGGCGTAGCTTATCATCTTCATCATAGGAAAACACAGCAGGTGATGGGCCTGTACCATTCACAATAAATTACTAGAGATTTCTTATATTGCCCTTTCCAAGAGAAAGAAGGCAGCAATTCAAGGAGACAAGGAAGTATTTTGATGGCATTGTTCAAAACTGACATTTTCCTGCCCCTTTAATGAAATATTTGTGCTACCCTTACTCCATGTCTTTTCTTATTTTTATGACACCATCTTTATCTCAATACTGTCTTTTAAGCTTGAAAAATGTGCATGTGAAGAGATAGCTGATATGAGTCCTTTGTAATTTGATATTTATTTAGGAACAAAAAAGTTGTTTTAGGGCTATAAAATGTGTTTTAGCTTGGGTAGCTACAGATGCCCTTCACAAGAGAGTTCAGCCAGCTTTGCAGCTGGGTCTCCACCATGGATGGTCAGCTGGATGAGCTGCTCTTGCTGCAGCCCTCCCTTGCACAACATTTCTTGCATGTGGGCTACACAGATCATGCACAGACCCCAGTCACACTGCTTCCCCAAAGCCAGCAGCCCTGCATCAGCTGCATGCCTACACACCCGTTCTGGGAAGACCACCTTGTCACTAACCCCTCACTGTTCCCATAAAACCTGTCACAGTTTTACGCCTGCCATCCTGCCTGCAGCTGGGACTGTAAGAAACTGGGTGGGAGGAGAGCTGGGATATGGGGTAGATGAGCACAGCATCCTTCTGGACCCCTGGAAGGAGATGCACTGCACATCTTCAAATCACACTTCAGGCAGTCCAAGTGTTGTTAACTTGCATCCAGGTTACAGAGCTCTTTCTAGGAAGCCTGAAGTTTAATTGAATGGGCCATCTTTAAAGATTCAGAACCTTGCATCGGTTCTGAATTTGAAGTCAGATGTGCTGAGTCCTCACAGTAGGTCATCTGTGTAGGTCATGCCACAAAAGGGATGAAAGAGTTCCCTTTGAAAAGAGCCCCGTCTTGGAAAGTCCATCACTGCTGGCCAGATGGATGAGTATTTATGTGTCTTCGCTTCATAATAATTGATCACTGCAATTGTAAAACCTTTGAAGAACAGACTGAATAGCACCCTGCTTAATACTAAGATTATCATGAAGACTGTATCTAATTTCATATTAAAATCACATCCAAAACTCATTTTAAAAGTGCCTAATTGCTTGTTTATGGAATAGCTACTTCAAATGATTTCTGTGATTAGCTTGACTGCTTTACCATAAGTGGATATGAATTAAAGAGAACTGATCATAAGATTCTTTTGAAATAAAGGATTTAATCTATCTTAGT